GTGGGTGGTCCATTATATCTCAAAGGAATACCAAGTGGTGATCATCAGTTTTTGTTATGGCAGGGTTGTTATACCTCTGTGGGAATAACACTGAGTTAATCCAGAAAATTGGTGGATAGGTCAAAAACATCTCTTAGTCTTAGCTTTATTGCATACAAATACTAGTAATGTAAAGTAAAAGGACACAAGTGCTACTAATGTGACAGTTTTATTGTGGCAATGATTTTGTCTCCAGGGCTTTGTCAAAGCTTGACAAAAGCTCCTGGAGATGAAACATTACCACAATAAAATGTCACAATTAGATGCACTTGAGTCTTTTTTACTTTACATATTGTTGGTATTCTACCAACATTATTACAAATAGTAATGCACATAAAGTAGAAAGGAAAGCAGCACACAACATCCATTCTCAGACAAGTTCATTGTTTAAATTAATTAGGTCATAATCAAGGTGATGCCTAAAGGTGGGTTTAGAGTTGCATCAGACAAGAGTACCTATGATGCCCACAAGCCGGTGGAACCACCTTGAGAAGTTATTATGAACCACCCCATTTTTCATGTTTTTCTGTGAATACCAAGTGTTTCACATACCACCTTTACACAAAAAGCATTACAAAGGTGCCAATATGCAACATTACTGTCGCTCAACAATACCATGGCTGGGAGACTTTGCAACAGCAGCAGCAGTGCATAAGAGTCAATATGGAAGGAGTATGGGGCTACAAGCTCAAAATTCATAAAAAGGTAAAGTTATACAATACAACTTAAGACACAAAGTTGGAAGATTAGATTAATTATTCAATATAGGTATACAAAAGTAATAAACTGACATTAATGAGTCTATCTACAAATTTCGGATTAAAATTTACTTACAAAGTAAAGTGAACAGAAGCTAACGTGCTGCTACACAGGCTACAATTAATAGAATCCAGAGTTTGTTGAAAAAAGACTAAAAACAAAGGGTTATATAAGAGTACTCATGAAGGTGAGAGAAAGTATAATAAATGGGCCTTATTAGTCGAGGATAAAAGAACACAGCAGAGCAATTATTACAACCAAAAATTATAAAAATTAAAAATGTCAGAGAAAAACAAATATATGTCCCACAGTGATAGGCATAAGTTTGTTTACTTCACTCTTTATTTCTTCTCTTTTCATTCATTCTCTCTCCTTTTTTCTTTCACTTGGATCTTAGCGCTATAGAGTTTCAAGATTTTGTCTGGTAATTCCTAAAACTAATTCCTGTATTATCCAAAATTTTATACTGTTCCATTTTGACAAAAAATACTTAAAAATTCTTAGGGTTTAAAATGGAACAGAATATAAAGAAACAGGAGAATTTAACTTCTGGTTCGAATCAAAACCTGTGGGTAGAATGGGGTCCCTTGACCATTCAAGCTTCCCCACTAACAAATTAGAGTGTCTACTACATTTCCCTTGTTATAATTACACATGGGCTCCAATGAAGTAGGGAGCAATATGTCAAAGGAAAATCTTTGAGTTCCTAGAGTCCTTTTCCTCCAAATTATAGCAAATCAAAAAGTGACAGTTATAACTAAATAAATTTAAGTGATTAATTTAACATAATGATTTAAGACAACCAACTCAATCACACCATTTTTTATTTATTTACAATTTGAGACCACAAGGGAAAACAGCTTTGGCCTTTTTGGGGAGTTCCAGGTCATATGTAACCATATTGTCCCTAATGAGTTCTTCATTTAGTTTTAGGCAATTGTCTTGACACCATTTTCAAAAATCCAAATACTGTCTTAATTGTTGGTCAATTGTAACTAATTTTATTTTAAACTCACCAAACATTCACCCACCTGAGTGACCAAAAAAAAAATAATAACACTCTAAAAAGCTTTTCTTTTTACAAATAGTAATTTATACAAGAGAAAAGGTTACTTAACCCTTTGTTTCTTGGCATTTCATTTGCCTTTCATGACACACAGGCTGGTGATTTTTTTTTTTTTTGTACCCTGCAGCCACATTTAGATGAGTACACCATAAGTAACAGATGCCAAACTTTTTCTTTTTCTCATGAATTCTGCTTTTTTTTGCATAAAAAACTTCAAGCCTTGCTTGAAAATGTTATTTGTCATGAGCTTTAATGTGTTGTCTAAGATATTTTTATACCTTGAAATATCTAGACATTTTGAACATGATTGGCCTTCTCCTCCCTGTATGAACTCTCTTGTGTGCCCAATACTATCTTATGTTTAAAAATACTTCTGACACTCTGACATTGAAATGGTTTTCTCTCCCTGTATGAACTTTCATGTGTTTCTATAATGCTACATTTTGCTGTAAAAAATACTTTCTGACACTCGAACACTCTGAAATGGTTTTTTCTTGGTATGAACTCTCATGTGTGCTACAAGATCATCTTTCTCATGAAACAGTTTAAACATTCTGCACATGAATGGTTTCTCTCCTGTATGAAGTCTTATATGAACTACAAGATTATATTTTTGTGTAAAATATTTATGACAATATGAACACTGATATTGTTCCATTTTATGAACTGAATGAGTTTTTACATGTTTTAGAAGAGCATTTCTTTCTTTTAAAACTTTTCAGGCATTACCGACAGTTGAAGGTCTTTCTCCTGTATGAAGTTCTTGATGGTTAACAAGATAAATTTTCTGTGCAAAAATTTCTGACATTCTGAACATGATTATGGTGATCTTCCTGTGTGAACTCTCATATGCTGAACAAGAAATATATTTATCTCTAAAATTTCTGACATTCTGAAACCGATTGGTTTTCTCTCCTGTGTCGAATTCTTATATGCTGAACAAGAATATATTTATCTCTAAAATACTTCTGACATTCTGAACACTGATATGGTTTCTCTCCTGTGTGAATTCTCATATGCTGTACAAGATAATATTTATTTCTAAATACTTCTGACACTCTGAAACACTATATGGTTTTCTCCTGTTTGAATTCTCATATGATAAAACAACCTTAACTATCACTGAAACATTTTTATGTCATTCTGAACATTTTATATGGTTTCTTTTCCCAGACAAGTTTTCAAACTGTGTTTCTAGGGGATGCGCTCTAACATCTGTAAAGCTGCTCCATTTTTTTGTAATATAAATGGTATCTAATTATTATAAAGAATAGGAGAGATAAAGTGGCAACTTATTACTGGGGCCAGTTTTTAGAATGGTCAATTTAACGTAGGAGCTAATGTGCAACACACATTCCCCACTAATGCTACTTACAGTTGCCAAAGATCACAGGAGAGGGGAGTACAGGGCAGGAGTCAGGGAAATACAGAGGGATGGAGTTTGAGAAGATACGGCAGGAGTCTAGGAATGGTACTGGGGAGAAAGTGCATGAAGGTACGGGAGAGAAAGTCTAGGAATGTTACTAGGGAGACAGTTAGGAAGGTTACTGGGGAGAAGTCTAAGAAAGTACTGTGGAGAAATCTAAGAGGTACTGGGCAGAAGTTAGGAAGGTACTGAGGGAGAAGTCAAGAAGGTACTGGGTGAGAAATCTAAGAAGGTACTGGGAGAAGTCTAGGAAGGTACTTGGAGAAGTCTAGGAAGTTACGGGAGAAGTCTAGGAAATGGTACTGGGGAGAAGTCTAGGATGGTACTGGGGAGAAGTCTAGGAAGGTACTGGGTGAAGTCTAGGAAGGTATGGGAGAAGTGTAGGAAGGTTACCTGGGGAGAGTCTAGGAAGGTTACTGTGAGGAGAAGTGAGAAGTCTAGGAAAGGTTACTGGGGAAGAAGTCTTAGGAAGGTACTGGAGAGAAGTCTAGGAAGGTACTGGGAGAAGTCTAGGAAGGTACTGGGGAGAAGTATAGGAAGGTACTGGGGAGAAGTCTAGGAAGGTACTGGTGAAGAAGTCTAGGATGGTACTGGGATAAGTCTAGGAAGGTACTGGGGAGAAGTCTAGGAAGGTATGGAGAAAGTCTGGAAGGTACTGGGAGGAAGTCTAGGAAGGTAGGGGGAAAAGTTTAGGAAGGTACTGGAGAAGAGAAGTCTAGGAAGGTACTGTGGAGAAGTCTAGGAAAGTACTGGGAGAAAAAGTCTTGGACGGTACTAGAAGTCTAGGGAAAGGTACCTGGGGAGAAGTCTTTTTTTCGGAAAGTACTGGGGGAGAAGTCTAGGAAGGTACTAGAAGTCTAGGGAAGTTACTGGGGAGAAGTCTAGGGAAGGCACTGGGGAGAAGTCTAGGAAGGTACTGAGAAGTCTACTATGAAGTACTGATGTGAAATCTAGGGAAGGTCGACTGGGAAATTCTAGGAAGGTACTGGGAAAAGTTAGGAAGGTAATGGGGAGAAAATCTAGGAGGGTTCTTGGGAGAAATCTGGGAAGATACAGGAGAGGAGTCTGGGAAAGATACAAGGTAATATCCAGGGGAAGTTAGCCGCTAGGAAGCTACAGGGTAGTATCTAGGGAAGAAGCAGTTAGGAGCTAGAGGGTAGTATCTAGGGAAGAAGCAGGTACGGAGCTACAGGTAGTATCTAGGAGAAGCAGGTAGGAAGCTACAGGGTAGTTCTGGGAAGAAGCAGGTAGGAAGCTTACAGGGTGTTGCTTAGGGTAAGTAGCAGCTAGGAAGCTACAGGGTAGTATCTAGGGAAGAAGCAGGTAGGAAGCTACAGGGTAGTATCTAGGGAAGAAGCAGGTAGGAAGCTACAGGGTAGTATCTAGGGAAGAAGCAGGTAGGAAGCTACAGGGTAGTATCCAGGGAAGAAGCAGGTAGGAAAGCTACAGCGGTAGTATTCTAGGGAAAGAAGAGGTTAGGAAGCTACAGGGTTAGTATCTAGGGATAGTAGCAGCTAGGAAGCTACAGGGTAAGTATCTAGGGAAGAAGAAGCAGGTATGAAGCTACAGGGTAGTATCCAGGGAAGAAGCAGGCAGGAAGCTACAGGGTAGTATTAGGGAAGAGCAGGTAGGAAGCTTACAGGGTAGTATCCAGGGAAGAAGCAGGTAGGAAGCTACAGGTAGTATCTAGGGAAGAAGCAGCTAGGATAGCTACAGGGTAGTATCTAGGGAAGAAGCAGGTTAGGAAGCTCAGGGTAGTATCTAGGGAAAGAAGCAGGTAGGAAGCTACAGGTAGTGTCCAGGGAAGTAGCAAGCTAGGAAGCTACAGCGGATAGTATCTGGGAAATAGCGCTAGGAAGCTACAAGGTACTATCCAGGAAGTGCAGTCTAGAAAGCTACAGGTTAGTATCTAGGGGAAAAGTAGCAGCAAGGAAAGCTACTGGGTAATATCCAGGGAAGCTACAGGCTAGTAGCAGGAAATTAACAGGTCAGTGTTGATAAACTGTTTGTTTGAAAGACTTAGAATTAAAAAAAGAAATATTTGAGTGGTATATTTCAAAGTTAACAAAGCATGTTTTCTAAACATTCACTAATAAACAACTAACTGTATCTTCTACTACATAAAATTTTTGAAGAATTTCTTTACTAAGTTTGTAAAAAACAACTGGCATCCCCCATTGAGGTAGTGAAGACCCAAATTAGACACACATTCACTCTCATTCAATCAGTAACTGATTTGACAGTAAGAAAGCAGACATAACAATACAAATGATCCTCCAAGCAACACATATCCCTCCACTTTCTTCCAAGGTGCAGGAACTCTGCTGTGAATACTTATATTACCTGGCCACATTTTAAATGCATAAGGAATAAACCACTTGTATCTGCAATGGAAAGATGGGCCTCACCATACCATTATACCAGAAAAAATTCTCGGGAAGCACCCTGGCTCAAAAAAGAACTAATGTGGCCTTTGTGAAAGTGCTCATTGAACCAACAGATAACTGATCCACTAGAAATGAAAATACCCTGGATTGATAATCCAAACAGAGAGGATCAAATCACAGACAAAAAAATTACAAAAAAACAATATACTTTGACCACACAGAGAAGTACAAAACAATATTAAAATCAGGGATGTTAAGCAAGCTTAAATTTCAACAACATAGAGTTGACTGATGAAAACATAAACCAAGAACTAATCAGTATTGTCCTGGGAATCAGACTGGGCACCCTAAATCCCCACCAGTGCCTAGAGAAGGTGATATAGAAAGCACACAAGGTATGTATTAAAACATGTACAAAGGACGAAACCCAGCAAGATAGAGAGAGAGTAGGGATGGAACAGAAGAAAGGATAAACAGGTTCCTGGGGGATTGTTAAAAAACAAATATGTTTAATAGTAGGGAATTGGATAGTCTTAGTCGAGAGATCATTGAATTAAGAGAATAAATTTAAGGATGTCATACCTCACAAGGAAATACAAAGGGAACCAAAAGGACCTTACGGAATTGCTAAGAAACCCAAACTATTTCTATTCCTATGCAAAATCCAACTAAGAACTACCTGCTTAGAGTTGGACCTGGGACCATTATTTGAGAGGAGATTTGTATACTAAAAAATGAAGAGGAAGGAATGAGTGAAATTCTTAAAAGAACAGAAGGAGTCGGATGTTCAGCAGCCCACTAAATAACAGCAAGGTAGAGAAGCAGAAACATTTTTCATTCAGCAGACAGCCTGCATCGACCAACTAACTGATATTGGTACAAATCCCACAAGATTCTAAAAAGGAAATTGGATAACATGTACTCATTCTGCACCTGGACCAAATTAAAAAAAGTGCAAAGAACCACTAGGTGAGCCTATGTATTTTGTTGAAGGACGAGCCTAGATATAGGTTGAATACTGGGAGATCTTAATGAATGCAGGACATAGCTCTTTGCATAAGGAAGTTAGTTAAAGCACTAGCTAAAAATACAGAACGCAGCCAAAACTTCCACATTTAGGCAGCGGCAGCAAGGCAGCAGCTCTTCAATTTTTTTCACCAGGCCAGAGCCCATCAACATTTCTATGATGGCCTAATTGCAATCATAACTGCTCTAACCATATGTAGAACCCAGCATGATCCAAGATAAACAACAGTGATACCTACAAAATGAGAAATACCGATTTGAAGTGAAGACCTGACCCCACAAAGTCCAAGCACTGCCCCGCTGCCGACGGAACTACCTGCTCCAAGCTCTTAATTAATTAGTTTCTTATATAACCACTGCAAAACTCCTGTACTACTATAGACCAAATCATAGAAGAAACCAGCATTTTATAAAAACAGCAAGGGCAACACCTAGAATCAACTAGACCATAAGATGACCAGCAGGGACACCAGCACCCCGTCCACCCCCCTAACACCCAGAGCGATGCATCACCAAACAACACTGGCCGACTCACCCTCACCCACCCAACCAAGGCGACTCGATACAACAACTCCAAACCATGACTGACTCACTCTCCACCTTTACTACCTTTCATAGGATTTAACCCATCTGACCACATTCCCAGGTATGGACTAATGATCCTGACACTCTAAAGAAATACATCACCATCCTAACGGCAGATAAACCTGAATTCTTCGTACCTGAAATTATGACTCTTCATGCAACAATAACAAACCGTGAATCTAAGGCTACTTTACCTTTGAGGAATAAGATCAACGCCTTGACAACACCTAACATCAACTGGCATGACTGATTTTAGCAAGACCCTCCAAGCAGTTCATTGCCAGCCACACAGATAAAATAAACTTCCCTAAACACAAAGGTTGAAGATGTCATCAAGGTACTGGAAAAATAAACATGGATACCCAATTGAAACCAATTGTTTTGCTTACCAAGATGATAAAGTAGAGCAAGATAAGCTAGCTGATGCAATAGTGATTAACAGTCCACTCATTCCTAGTGAATTAAACCATACAAACTGCAAAGCTACAACTCTTCAGATCATACAAGATGACCTACATGCTAGTGTGCCAGTGTCAGAAATAAAAGGAATCACAGTTACTAGGGAACCAAGGGAGAAGGAAGTGTTATTCTTAGAATTTCACACACAAGACAGACAAATAAAGCTCTAATAAGTTATTTATTAAAGCAAAAAAAGAAATACACATAAATGAGTGCCTTAAAGGAAAACGACAGAACCTCCTGTACAGAGTGATAGAAACTGAAACATGAGAATAATGATAAAATTCACCAGTGTTTCGTATGTGATGACAAATTTCTAGTAAGAAGATCAAAATGTAGACCGTTTGTGTACTGGTATTTACAAAATGAAAATAAACTTAGTTAAACTTCTTCATGATGCAAAACATACAGAAGTCTGACTGATATTAGTGACCAAATCTTTGTTACTACATTAGTGTATGTTATTATGCCATTATTGAACTAATCCCTGTACTATCACCTCCCGGATAGTATTTACTACTCATTATCCCAAGTGTCCCACACAGTTCCTTGTGTGATCAAATTGTGTTATTTCCCGATTTTCCCATTCAACAATTCATTATTTCTTACAAGATCCTTACTCTTTAATAAATGCCTGTATTACCATTACTATTCCCACCTTAAAAAGCCACTGTTACTAATTATCGTATAATCTTTAGCAAACTTTTCCCTTTGCTCCCAAAACTACAAATAACTAACTAGTGTATGTTCTAACACACTACTGTGCAATTCTTTTTTTGTACCATATCTTTCACTCGAGTTCTAGTATCAAAATATCTCAAATATGATATGTAATAAAAAAGAAGCGCTAAATCACAAGGGCCTACACAGTGCTGGCAAGGCAGGAAGGAAGCGAAGGTATAGGGTGGCAAAAGGGAGAGGGATGATTATTAGGTTATGGAGAACAGTGGGGCAGTTGGACAGTGAAGGGGTAAATGGGTAGCAAGAATTGAGGAAGAAAGGGCTAAGGGGCAGTGCAAAAGGTATCATCATCAGAGTTTGTGGAGACAATCAGTCGTTGTAAGAAGTCATGAGAGAGTCAGGATTAAAGGAGGGTCCATCAGCAAGAAGGGAGGTAAAGGAAAGAGTAGAAGAGCAGAGTCGATGTTGGAGGTAAATTCTGTGTGCTCGTGAAAGAAGAGGGAATCTAACAGAATGTGGGTAACCGATATTGGAGCCCTGACACTTTCACCAGAGGAGGGAACTGGGTGCCTCTCATGACATACCCATGAGTAAAACAGTGTGAGGCCAAATGTGGAAGATGGGAGAGAGTAGTCTCCCAACCTTGGCACTGATGAACAGAAAGAAGACAGCAGTAACCTATATCGGTTTAATAGACTGAAGTTTGTTATCGAGCAGGAGTAGACCAACATTGTTGCCAACGGGTGAGAAGGTGGGTAGCTATTACAGCAAAATAGTCTGTAAATGGAACACCTCTATATGATACAGCAGTATCTGCCTGTTTCATTGCCCTGTCGTCAAAATGACAGGGACCCACAAAAAACAATATCTTCATTCTTGGTTAAAGAATGCCAGCTTAGCAAAAGTTGGGATAAGGAGAAAGAAACTTAAGGGGGTGAGGGTTATCAAAATTTACCCCCCGTATCACCCCCCCCCCCCGCTATAAAGCACTAAGGGATGTCTGAGACAACCCAACACCAATGATGACATATCCGGCATAGGCCCGGTTAGGGAATTTGCATACGGATAAGTGCACTGCAAGAATGACACACCAATTTCAGAGTAAAAATACTAGCTGAAGATAGTAAATGGACACTCATAGACACTGTCCAGAAACACTGCTGCAATTCCTATTCCCTCAAATGACTTAGAGCCATCTGTGTACACTGTGATGGCATGAAGAATGAGAGCAGAAGTGGTAAAAAAAAAAAAAAAGAGAGCAGGAAAGCTCAGTAGCAGTTGGGCTTTCCGAGCAAGGGAGTGAGAAAAGGACCAGACTCAAACAGCTGGAACATTCCCAGGGGGGTAGGAAAAATGAGTGCTATCAGGAACATAGAAAGGCGGTAACTGAAGAGAAGAAAAGAGCAAATGTAGGTGAAGAAAGAGAGAAGGGATGGGAGTAACAGGTGCAGCACAACAATAGAGATATGTCTACTATATATTGGTGATCATTCTATAAATGAAATGATTGTGGAGATTATGAGGCGCCCCCCCCCCCCCCCCCCCCCCCCCCCTACTAGTAGAGAAGGCAATGGGCATCATGGTATCACAAAGGATGAACA